ATTAAACGTGTCTTTCCTGGTCGAGCTGTATTTATAATGCAGGATTGCGTTTGCAAGGAAGAAAAAACATTGTCACGGCACGTGCGGAGAAGAGAAGTTTATTTTTGTCCACTTGAAATGAGGAGTATAATGCATCGAAGAGACGCCAGGCCCCGAATCTCTCAACGAGACTGTTTTATGCCCAAGAAGAAGACTCGAATATATTTCAAGAGTCGTTAATGACAATTTATTGTAGCAACTACAATAACGAATAGAACACACACGCGTCTGTGTGTAATCTATTTTTTTTTAGAATGTAATAAAGACGAATCTACTGTGAAAAACAGGAAGATTGTGTGCTTTAAAACGATTGATGCGCTAATAATAATACGATTGACTATTCGCTTCTCTTTTCCCTTTTTTTTTTTTCCCCTAAAAATCTAACGATTATTGATTTCTCGTAAATATTAATAAAAAAGCACAAATAAAAGAACGAAATAAAAATTTAGAATATACGATATAAAATATGTATATATATATATATGTATATTTGAAACGATAAACGCGTAATCGATACGACGACCGTGTTATTTGTACGAGCGCCGATACGCGACTGCCGAAATTCGACATTCCCCCACTCTACTAATTTCTAAGCAGTACCGTAACGAACGTTTATACGTAAATTGTAGACGTATATAATTACTCGAAATTGATCGAATAATCGAACATTATATATTTTCAGGGTCTCGAATAATAATTATTTATTAATAAATTTATTAATAATATAAATATAAATTTTATTTTATTTTAAAATTCTAATATTTATTTAAAAATATATATATATATATATTTTCGAATAAAAATGTTTACGATGATAAAGAGTTGATAAGAGCGTACTTCCTTTTCGATTCTTCGACAAACTCGATTGGGCCCTCGACAAGCTGATGTAAATTAAAGTTGGATCACGCGTGCAGGGGCGGAACCGTTGGCGGTATCGCGGTCCCCACGAGACTGGGGCGTCTCGTGGGCGTCGGTGTCGGGCAAAAAACGTCAAACTCCAGGATGCACACGGTGTACATCGAGTTCTCCCCTGGGGAACTCTTATCGAACGATTTAACCGGCTCGTTTACACGTGATCCATACGTATAAACGCATAAACGAAGAACAGACGATTTATTCAAAAGGTTCGCGTGACTTCTACTTCGCAAGGCAATAACCTTCGACAACTTCATTCTACCGCAAATTTGTGCTATTTTCCAAGTTGCAATTGTGCTTAAAATACGCGACTCTGAGAATGCATTGACTAGGGATATTTTAGCTTCTAGATACATTTGTTAATTTTAAACGAAATAAACGTAATTATTACAACGAAATGTACGTACGATGTGGCGACGGATATAATACAAAACAGTAAAATAAAAAGTTATATATTACTAAATAAAAAGCAGAGATGCGTAAAATTTTAGTAATTGCAAACGAAGTTACGTAAAGAGAGGATATATAATAGCTACGAATAAATATTGTTCAAGCATTTTAAAATTACTTAAAGTAATTTCTAATTACTTATCTTTTCAACGCATCCAATTTTTTAGCGTGTTAACCATAACCAAAACATTTGGTAACATTTCAATTCCCGAAAGAGTAACGCGCTATCAATGCTTAGAGAATAATTCTGACCACGTGTGTGTCGCGAAAGAAAAAGACATTCGAGAGCGCAGATGGAATTGCGCGGAATAAAAGAGGTGAAGATAACGAGCAGACGGCGCCGTCTGAAATCTCGCGATCAGCATCTTTTTCTCTTATCGTCCCTTTGCGTTCCTACGATCTGCGCGCACGTTCGGTTACCGGACACCGGTCACAGACAACGTAGCCAACGTTTTTCTGCTGATCGACAGAAACGAGAAGAAAAACGAGAACGAAAGGGAAGAAAGAAAGAAAAACGATGATTGTTCGCACGAGAACAAGACCAACGAATGTTTTTATAGATATATCTCCCCCTCCTCCCGTAACGGAATGCGATCTTTGTCCAGTTTCGCGATAGTGAACCGTCATCTTGTGCAGGGTAGCCAACTATCTAATAAAGAGACTAGAAGGTAGCGCGAAACATAAACAAGCGGTACCAGATTGCGCCGCTTAGACAAGCAATTCTTATCGCTACGCACCGTTGCGCGCCTCGTCCTTTCCTCCACTCTCCCCCCTTCCTTCACCTTTTTCTAACGTCATCCAATTTCGGTGTGAGCACGTGTGACTCATTAATTCCCCGAAATGTCCTAGCTCCGTGCTCGTATTTTCGTTTCGGTCGAATTTATCTCTATCATCAAGGTTACATTCCAATTATTGGAACCGTGATGAATTAAACACGTTGAAAGGATTTGAAAAAATCCTCTAAGCTACTTTAAAAAAAAAAAAAAAAAAAAAAGATGACTTAGCCATCCGCAGATTGAAATCTAATCTCGCAATAACGTTATGAATCATACAGATAGATAACATATAACGCAACGGCATCAAAAAATTTATCCTTGAAATATGTTATAACCGTGGTTCGGTTAATGGAACAAGAAAAAGGATCGTTCGCTATCTTCTTCGTTGTTTAAATCATAAAAGCACTCTATTAATTGACCCATCCAAGCAATCAAACGGATCCTTTCTCTGTATCGTTCAAAGAATCGCCGCCTACGTATCTAGATACAGATTTTATTAAGGTTGAATAAAAATTATGTTATCTACAGGGTATAACCTCGATATGAAAAGCGCAACAATGAACCATTTCAACTCGATATTCCATCGAGGGGGTGTGCAACGAATTACTGATAGGGGGAAGGTACAGGAGGGTGATATGGATGCTTTGTAGGATTTCCTGTAATTAATATGCCGCGAATGATGCCATGCGTATCCACGATACCCCCAAAGCCATCGGATAGGACTATAGGATCCACCACCGCTTGCCTGTCTCTCTCTTTCTTACCCCCACCAATTTTCCCCCTCGCGCTAACCCCTCTCTCTCTCTCTCTCTCTCTCTCTCTCTCTCTACCTTTCTGTTTCTCTCCGAGTCCTTCTTCGTTCATGGGAATACACAGAAGCCATAAGAAATTCGATACGTTCCCCGTGGCGTGACACGGCTGTGTACTGGACTGGGCCTCGCCACGGTGGTGCTTCCCACTTCCTCCCTCGCGAAATTCTCGTCGAGGAGAAACGCCGTCTATCCTGGCCACGATTCGCATCGATGGATTCGCACCGAAATCAAGGGAACAAGAACTGGTTTTTTATTTTATTTTCTTTTTCCCCGTGTTATTTATGACGCACGATGATCGTCCGTTTCGACGATTCTTGAATTACGCTCACTATTAATCATCCTATCGAATCTTCTATAGGAAGCAGATGATTTTTTGCTCTAATAGATTCATCTATTATTTTTTTCGATATTCCCATACTGATTACGCGCGTGTAAACATTGATGTATACTGTATCGCAATTATGAAAATGAATAACAATAGAGTTTCAAATTGGTTAAACAATATAATTTTGTTATCACAAGATTTTAATTTCCGCACGTTCAGAAGATGTAAAAGGAATAAATAAATAAATAAATAAATAAAAAAGGATAAAATAAAGAAATAAATTTAGTATGAAACTTGAATATCATAAAATTAGAGAATGCGGTATCCTACTATAATATAGTAAGATTAATCGGGAGGAATAATATTACTAGATTCGTGTTATCGATTCCAATACGAAATAGAGAATCATGATATATAAGTATTATATTGATTACATTCGGTGAATATAAAAAATGAACATAGATTATTACACGATTTCAAAGGAGATATTATAACGGTATCTAAATTGTTCCGAGTAGTCGAGAATTTTAACTCTTTCCGCTCGAGAGCAAAATGGCAGTAACGAGGATCCGACGATTAAGCGGTTCGACAGATCGTGTTACGTCTCGAACAAGGTGTTCATTTCGGATCGAAAATTACAGAGTTCCAACATTGAGGTAAAACGGAAAAAGTTAACGTCCATATAATTAAATTCGAGGACGATTTAGAAGCAACAACGTAACAACATAACCTCTACGTTATTTCTTTCTTACTTTCGATAGATAACGATGTAACGTGTCCTTCCATGTAAATTACAGAAAATGTAGAGGTTAAGATCTGATAAAAAGCGAATCACACGACGCAAGTGAAATACATCGCTAACGTTACGTAGTTATGAGGCCGTCTTCGAGTTTGTTCGGTCGTTTCTAAAATCGGATATAGAGCAACGACCTTCCAAACAACATGAAACTCCTACGCTTGCGCCCTCCACGAATTCCACGGATATCAACTCGGCCACCGTCATTAAATCCTCGAACAAGGCCATGCGAAAAATATGTATGAAAATGCATACGTATATCCACATCGATATGACGAAGCTATTATTGTAACAACACATGTATCATCATCGACATTTCTCACGTGTTTTCTCATCTCTTTCCTACTTTAAAATAAGCAGACGCGTCTAGCATATCGCGATATATATATATATTTGATTATTAAAAGAAGATTATGTAATGTTCCTCTTTGAAACGTTCGAAGAGAAAAACTCCTTATATTCATAAGCTAATTTACACATTCCACGTGCATAAGTGTAAATTTATCTTAATATCTATAAGTAATACTGTTGCGTGAGAAACTGCTTTTAAAATTCCCGCGAAAATAACGCTACATTTGGACCGTTATTACTAATATTACTGGCTATTATTATTATTATTAGGCCAGACAAGATGAACAAAGGATATCGGATATTTCATCAGCAATGAAGACAATGTACTAAATGTCAACGCCCTAAATGACTTTGATCTTTCGAACAAAGATCAAAAATATAGAATGTTATCCAAATAAAAAAATATAATATGTCTGATACGATTTAAAAATATTATATAGATTATATATAATAAGCAATCCCCTTTAACGCAGTATAAATTAAGAAAAAGAAATAATTTTAAAAATATCGAGAAAATATTAAAAAAAGATAAATACCTATGTTCAGCTGCACGATCCCTTTGTCTCCGGTTCTTGAACCAGTTGCTGACTTGCGTAGTAGTGAGTCCCGTGCTTTCTGCCAATTCTCGCTTTTCACGAGGCGAAGGATAAGGATTAGTAGCGTACCAATCCCTCAGAACGCTTCTGGATTTCTCCTTGAAGCAGTAAGACGTCTCCTCGCCATCCCAAATAGTACGGGGCAGAGGAAATTTACGCCGAACGCGATATTTTCCTGTAATTTAAATATTTTTTCTTGTATACAAATATGAAATACTTAAAATTATATTTTTAAGCGATTTTAACTTTATCAAAAAAAGGATATTTTATTTAATTTTCTATTTTATATTAAAATTATATTTCAATTATATAAACATAATTATATTTAAATTGTTGATTATTCTTGTTCACGAATAAAATTACATGTTACTATCGTTAATTAAAATTATTAATTACAAAAAAATATTTCAAAATAATAACGCGATTTATACGTCCAAAGACGATAAATCTTCGAATTAGGAGAGGAAATATTTTTAAAACGACGCAACACCGATGCACAAACATCGCGTGTGTTCGATTTTATTTTCGTCGTTCGATCTACAAATATCGTGCATTGTTTTGCATTCTCCTTCAGCTATCAATTGCCATCGATACTCGAGAGAGTAAAAAAATCAAACATATAAATAAAAGTTTATATCGCGAAGGTCTTTTAAAAATACTTTTCTGATGTTTCACTGTAATCATTTTATATAAATAAAATGGAAAAAATGCAAGGAAAACGAAAAGAAAAGAGGAAAGAAACTAAGCACTGATAAAAATTTTTGCTCTAACTTCTTAAAAGAATCATTTTAAGAAAGGGTTATGCGTTAACCTTTTTTTAAAAGTACGTATAGCGAAGTTCTTTTTCAAAGAGCAGCAGGAAATCTTCACACAAACTTCGCGTCACACGAATTTCTTTCTTTGCTCTCTGGTTTTAGCATAAAGACAAAGGAAGAAAGAAAGAAAGAAGGATCAAATGACACAAATTGGTTCACAAAAGTAAATGAAAAGATCTAATTAAAATGTCGGTTGGTTAAACTCGCCTTCTTCCCTGTTTACAATGCGCGACGGAAATAAAACTGGCAGGCCTCGGGCGCGAAATTGCGGCGCGATTCTTTTTCCTGCGCGAGATGTTTCCTTTCCGGCGCCTATTATGATTGTCAATAAATTAGAGCCGGCGTTGTTACGTGGCCGATTCGTATTTTTAAACTTTCACTATCACCGACATTAAGTGAGATTACAAAAAAAAAGAACAAACGCGAAGAATTTGAAAAAATTTTCTCATGTATTACGCAAAAAGATAGAGAATATAATACAATTACATAAAATAAATTAAATTATAATATGTATTATCAATTTTTTTGGTAAATCTATTTAAGAATTTGAATTTCGTTTCATACATTAGATTGGAGAATTGTGAGTTATAATGACCAATGAGATTTAGAGATAGAAATTTCGTAAACAATATGGCGGTTAATATCCGCAATTAATTTATTTTGAAGACAGAAAATTATGTTTTATTTTGAAGGACAATGCATACTAAACACACTTCGTTTACTAAACACATTTCGAATTATCCAATAAAAATTTGAAATGATTTGAGGAAAATCTTATACTAACCAACTGCACCCAAAGGCCTTCCTCTCAATCTCTCGGCCTCTATGTAATGAGCCTTGAGCCAGAGAGCTTGCAGTTTCTGATGATTGTGCGGACTGAATGTATGACTCTCAAGAATCCTGTACAGTTCCTTGAAGTGGCCCCGATGGAAGGCGACAATCGCCTTAGCTTTCAGCACACTCTCGTGACGATGCAACCTAGTGCACGCCGGCAGGGACCACAGGAACCTGCCAAGCCTCTCCACAGAGCCTGCCTGTTGGAGAACCTGGACAGACGACACCATCGCCTTGAAGACGATAGACAGGGGGGGCACACTGTTAGTCGGCAGAACTCATCCCGATCTCCTCTTATTCTAGTGTATCTTGTATATTTCTCAATCGTAACTATTATTTCATCTCGTATCTCTATTTTATTCCGCGAAAAGGGTGTTTCTTTTTTTTTTTTCGATAAAATATTAATAATTTAACGTATCAAGAATCAGCAGACGTAATATATTTACATTCATTTATTAAGAAAGATAACACTTCAATAAATTTATGCTAATATTCCCTTTTCACGAGTTTATTCTTCGATGCAACACGACTCGTAATATATAAGCAAAAAAAAAAAGAAAAAAAAAACCGAATTTTTATTACGCGTACGCATTAAATTGAGAAAAACTGAGAAAAATTAAGAAAAAATATAAATATCGAGGAAAAATTATTATGCTATTACATGTAATGAAATCAATGCTCGATTGCTTATTACAAGCAACTTATCGAAAACGATCATCCATTAAATGAGACGATGGTACGAGTCTTGTGCACCTGCCTCGATTACTTCTTCATTCGCGTCGCCGGGTGCCACTAGTTTCTACACTTCTGACGAACGATTAATCACAATGTGTGCAAGAAATCCGGTCATATAATGAGAAACGAGTCGCGATGAAAGCCTAAGAGAAATGGCCGACACAGAGATCGCGATCGGACTTTAACGACGGTATACGGAAGTTTTCGATTGGTCGACGACAAATCAAACCGACATACCGAGGCGTGCTAGCTAAACCGTTAAACGATTTCAGTCTGTCTCGTTCCATCCACCATTCTGCCGCGAACTCGAGAATCGATTTGTCTTCGCGCGAGAACTTGAAGCACGCAACAGACGGTAGCACAAGAAACTACCGGCACCACCCGACTAACGGCAAAATATCGATAGATCGTTCTTTCTCGAACGAGTTGATTCGCCGATTACTTCGTATGATACAAGACAACTAGCGCCCACGTCTCACGGCATTTTCACGAATTACCGGTAACCATAGTGACGATAAAATACCATCTGGCGGATGTCACGCATAATTACTATTATTATTTCCAGTACGCTTTTTTAACGATTAATTTAAATTTTAAATTCAAAATTACAAATTTTAAATTGATTGATCGTTTAATCACGGTAAATGTTTCACGCACGGAATGCTTTTAATCGAAACGATAAGCTTAAATTATATTGAAAGACGCGATCGTTAATATTTAACTTTTTTTTAAACTTCTTTTTATTATGGCGCGGGCGTAATTAATCGTTAAACAATTCTATTCTTAACAAACAATTCGGTCGTTTATCGAAAACACAAAACGCTATCGTAAATTAGAATATCCATGTGACGTGGGCAAGGAGTTAAACGTCTAGCCGTATATGTAAGGCAAATGGGAAAAGTGTGCAAATGTTAACGTTCCTCGCACATTTCTAATGTACTATTGATTTCTGTATATGTCTATAATTTTGTACATTTTTTTTAAAATATAGAGAAACAATTATTTTAACACATTTATTATTATACAATTGTATTTATATGATACGTCACTAACGAATCATTTTTTTTATTTTTTTTTTCATTTTTAATTTTCGTCCAAATAATACAAAATCAGAATCTCGAACTACTGCTTCGAATAAAACATTCGAGATGTGTAACTAATGAATTCCGTCATGTACACGTGGACTATTCGATGTGAGAAGAGCGTAAACGTCGCACACAAAACAATTTATGGTTGGTAAAATCGTATGAACTCCATTAGATGTGACATGCAAGTGAATCTTGGCGCGCGGTGTTGTACAATATTGTATTCGCGGAAAAATAGAAAATTTCAGGGAGAATTTCATCGCCGCAAAGTGCATAAATAATAGCCAAGAAGTTAAATATTATTTCGCGAATAATTTTATTATAAGAATTTGGTCCTTAAATGATAATTTATGGATATTGACCGGCGTAATTGAAAATCTGCATATAAATTTTTTAATTTCTATGATCTTAACATCTTACTCCTGACCGAAAGTTCCGATTACGTATGTCTTATTAATTCTTACATAAATGAAATAAATTAATAAGAAAATAAAAAAAAATAAATTTATTAAAAATAATAATACGAAGGAGATAATATTTTTATATTATTTATTAATTAAGTGAAAAATAAAATCATTTGCATATCATATATCATTTATAATGTCTTGATTGCAAAAAATATAGTGACTTTTTATGATGCACGATGTTATTGTCACAATCGACTGACATGAAATTTATACACAATGGATATTATTTAAATTATATTAATCGCAAATCAATATTTTAATATTGTCCAAATAAATAGGAATAAAGTAAATTATAAGAAAATTGTATCTAGCATCTTTCCGTCGGATACTCGTCGCCCAACACCGCGCGACCGGAATTGATTTTATCAATCAACAACGCGTTAAAGCAAGCTCAAATTTCAAATTTCCACTCGAATAATATTTTTTAAAGCTTACCTCACAAACACAGGCGACTTGTTCCTGCGTAAATCCGAAGCTGGGAAGCTGTCCATT